ACATATCGAAGAAGTATTTTGAGAGTCAGACTTACCAATAATAGCCAAAGTAGAATATACAGTTCTGTTGCTTGGTGTTAATTAATTAACCCTTAATTTTTCAACCTTTCTCACTTCTTTATCTTTTGTCTTTTCTCTCTTTTCCCCGCATTTGGGTCTGTAATCCTTTGAATCACAACTCCACATTATTTAGTATTTCTTCCAGCGTTGCAAGATTTGGCTATTTTACGCCAAATTTTGCTATTTTACACCAAATTTGGCTACCCATTTCTTAGTTTGGCGAAAAAATTTCATTTGGAACATTAGCTACTTTTTAGACTACATGTTATGCATAAATATATTAGTTGAATAAAAATGCACTTTAAAATAGTATTTCGTCGTTTTTTATTAATTAGAGACCCAAATAAAACAAATATTTGTGTTTTTCAAATAAATTTTCTTTAGTCTCTTTTATAATAAATGAATTTATCTATTTCTAAGTAGAAATTGAAAGTGTCTGTAAAAGTAATTTTTTTTAAATATTCTTTTTTGTAATAAAGTTTTAATACTTATTATTATAATATAGACATGTTAAACCTTAAATGTACTTGTATATTTAAGGATTGGACCACAATATACTTGGGCTACAAGTATATTATATGTACTTGTGGCCCAAAACTCCACCACTTCTTCCAAAGTGGCCCAGAAAAACAAAAAGGTTGGACATTCCTGATCTAAAGCTTAACTATGAGGTGCTGAGGGACCTCGAATCTCTCAAAAAATTTAGTTATCTTTATACTAAGGCATTAATCCTTGTCTGTCTAGTGCAATTAGTAATAAACGAATGTGATTTATAACCATAATAAAAATTAGAAAAAATTATTAATTATTAATGATATTTACAGAAATTTAAAAATTAAGTTCATTTTGTAATTAGAGGAAATCAACATTAATAAACTCTGATTAATAATGTAATATTTAAACAAATTAAATGATAAAAAAAACTGTATTATTTGTTGATTTTTCTTTTCTGCTATAAAGATTTTCAATAGACTCGGTTTTTATGGCTTTAAAGAATTTTGGAATGTGCTCATGAAGCGAGCTGTGGTTNTTAAATCCTATTTATTACGCTATCTAACTCTATCTAATTTGACATAAAAGTTATTTTTTAAATTTCTTTTTCTTCTACGTCTGGTCAAAGCTATTGTGAGCATAGCGAGACACAGAATTAAAAGTTCAAAATTATTAAAATGTAATGAAATTATAAGTTCATTTTGTAATTAGAAGAAATCAATATTCATAAACTCTGATCAATAATGTAATATTTAAACAAATTAAATGATAAAAAACCGTATTATTCGTCGATTTTTCTTTTCTGCTATAAAGATTTTCAATAGACTCGGTTTTTATGACTTTAATTAAAGAATTTTGAAATCGGCTCATGAAACGAGCTTTTCTTAATTTGGTAAAATAAATTCAAATTTCTTTCGCATAAACCCATCTTTGATTAACAATATGACACGACAAAGAAAATTAACCTTTTTCTTACTGTTTTAATAGAAAATTAATGTACTCCTAAAATGGTTCTATTGTACGGGATGATCACATAGATACATAACTTGAGACAATTAATGTGCTAGTTCTCGACGCCTTTGTAGCCAATGTTATCACCTTCTTAAGAATACAAAGAAACATTTAAGCTTCAGTTACCAGTGCATAAATCCACAGAATTCGTGCTACCAACGTGCTTGCCTCGTCCAAGTTTTCGGAATTTGCATCATGTATCTGATACTTAAACACGGGGCATCCTTCGTCCTCAGTCACCGACGTGTTATTTGCCGTATCTCGTCAACGTTGTTAAATTTGATAATTAATTTACAGTTTATCGAGAAATCATATCGTTTTAATATTCTTTTTTATGTAATTTCCAGTACAAGAACTTTCACTTCTTAAGTCTTGTTCTGAAGTGTAAGGCGTTTCTAGTACAGTAATCACTAGACTTTTATATAAAAAGTAAGGAGCTAACAATAGACAAGAGTCGGTAATGCCTAATGAGTCATCGGATTTACAATAATCTTTGAAAAATAAGACCGTTTAAAAAATGAAATTTAGCTACAAAATTGTGTGTTTTAGTACATAGAACAACATGAATACTTACAGCATAAACTTAATAATGTTCAGTGTCTTTGTTCAAATTTGAAATAGTTTATTCAAGTTATCAAAATTTTGTAGATTTAGTATTTGTAATTAATATTAATAAGCAGACATTTGTGCAGGAAATTATACCGCGCTTGCGTATAGAACATGCTCATAAATCATCCCGTTGCCATAGACACAGAGCAGAATCAATTGATATTGCTCTATAGGCATTATTTTCTCAAAAGGATTAAAGTACTAAACAGTGCTAACGCAACTCTATCGAAATAGCCTATAAAGTTTGTATTAAGTTCGAGATTCTTCTAAACCGGTGAGAAATAAATTTAATCATAAATGAATTGAAAATGAAATTTTATAAGAAAAAGTTGTGTAATCTTTTATATTTGATTAACGTGTTAAAATGTAAATAGTAAGTACAGTACATTTAATCTGTTGATTTTCCTTTGATTAGCAGTGCAATAACTGCATTTTACTATTCCCGGCTTTTATATATATATAACAAGAGAGTATTGAAATCGTGTCAAATTTGATACTCTTGGTTCTTTGCAAATCTTCACGTTTCAGATCGCCTGAACCCAAGAATGTAAACTAATAGCAAAAATTCCGTGGATGTATGTATGTGTTTGTACACGTGTTAGCTGCCCACCAGTGGCCAAGCGGTCTGCGTACCCAGAATACTGGGAATTCGGTGGTGGGTTCGCGCCTCGCTCGGATGGACTGGCCACTTGGAGTTCTCCGGGTTTTCTCCACGTCTGTAATGCCTAAATAGGGGTCAGTTTCTCTTAAATACACTTCCCGGAAGGCATCCCCTAGACGGATCGGCCAAGTATTACGCTTCTATAACTTAACATGCAAACGTGTCTGCCGTCTATATCGTTTAATATCTCAGGATTGGGTAAAGATTAAAATACGAAATTTGCTATTGTAGTTTTTGTGTAAAAAGTATTCTTGTTACTAAATTTTAGATTTCAACGAAACTGGTTGAAGTCCACAAACTCAGGGCAAGTTAAAGGTCATTGGGGTGGATATACTTATATTATTTCAAAAATTCGTATTAAATTAAATTTTTATAATAGAAGTATAAAAAATTACTGCTAATATGCAAGAATGTGTAGTTTTGTTTGGTATCTTTTTTATCTGCTTGTATTTTGTATTTTTTTTTTTTAAATTCGTTTTTCTTTCTTACTTTAATGACTTGTAAATTTCCTGCAATTTAATCTAATTTAATTTAATTTTATGTTTAATTAATGTACTATTTGATAGTATGTTATTAATTACGTTTTATATATAAGTATTAGTATATAACATTTATCGTATATTATTTATATTTAAATTTTAATTAATTTTTTTAACGGTTTAATTATCGAATCGACAGTGCTGCCACTTTTCGTACGTTTTTACATTTACGCAATTTCTTTCATATACTTTAAGTTTATTATAATATGTAATTAGTTTATTTAATTAATCGATAGATATTAATTTAATATATAAATTGCAGACTTTTAGCAATATTACAATTTTCAGTCAGACAAGTGGTGAATCATAAATTTCATTTTTTCATAAATGTTTCAAATGTTTTTCATTTTTTAACAAACGAATAAGTTATTAAATGTTTTTATTAAGGTATATCAAATACGATAGATTATTTCGTACTTTTAACCCTTCTATTATATTATATTATATTGTATGATTAATCTTTACTTACGTGGACTGTCATGGCCGCACTTCCGGAATCTCGACAGCAATCATCCTTCGAATTTCAATGTAAGCGGCGCTGTTAGTAAATTTGAAGGTTAAATTAACTATATTTTTAGTAGACGTTTCCTTTGTTTTTATTTTGTTCAAGAACTACCGTGAATCAATAACAAGTGACGTTAAACACTAGGCGGCCTGCCGGCTGCTCTCCTCCGGGGGTCCGTCGGGAGCATTGACAGTCGGAAGCGCGGCCATTTTGGCACTTAAGTATTTCATACATGTGCTTAAAATGCATCCTTACCTAAATTTGAAAGTGATTATTAAAGACTAACTTTTTTTATAAAAAATCTGGGTGTTTTTTTTGTCGACCTTGGTGCGATAAGCCCTCCAAATTGTTAAATCCTATTTATTACGCTATCTAACTCTATCTAATTTGACATAAAAGTTATTTTTTAAATTTCTTTTTCTTCTACGTCTGGTCAAAGCTATTGTGAGCATAGCGAGACACAGAATTAAAAGTTCAAAATTATTAAAATGTAATGAAATTATGTGAAATACTTCATCATCAAATTTTTATTATTACAAATTCTGTTTTAACATTTATTGAAGCTGTATGAAAGTGAAAGGTTAAGCTCCACAATGCACCAGTGCACTCTCCACTACTTTACACTGGCAATCTACGGTCCCCAAATATTGCCCAAATTCAAATTTCAATATTCTTACTACAGTAATGAGTTTATAAAAAGTTTTCTTGAGCCTACCTTTCGAGGGAACCCCAGGCAATTGTCCTTTTTGTCCGTAGGATAATGCCCCACTAGGTATTTGATCGGAAGTTCGTTCCTCATTAACATGGTCACGTGGAGTTTCTGGGGTTTTTACATGCCCAACACAAAATGGTCCGAGTTTCCTATTTATAGACTGCTTAGAATGCACTAGTCCTTGGCACAGCGCCCGTGTTTCGTTGCTTAATTTTGTCTTATACAATTCTATACTTCCTTGGTTACTTTTTGTAATTTAACAGGAAATATACTGTAAATGTAAATGTAATTATTGTAACTAGATAATTTTATATTACTATACTACTTATTTATTCTATAAAAAATAAATATAAATAATTTTGTTTTAATATTCTTGAATTTACAGTGAATATACTGTATATTTATTCATTATAGAAATATATTGAAGATGATGCTTATGCTTCAGTTGTGCTATGTTTTGATTACTTATGGTGGTTTGAAATATACAAATCCCACGAATTTCGAAAGTGAGTATGAAAGTCTTTATTGTCTGAGCAATAAATAATATTACAGGCCTGCTTTCCCCGAAATAATGAAATTATACCAGCAATGGGCTTATTGATAAGCATTTATAAACATTATCTTCTTAACTACAGATCTCGAGGATAGGACAGTGCAGGTGGTTTGACGTTATTATATTGTTCTGGAGCTCCCGAGTTTGAATCTTTAAATGATACTTTCAAATGCTGATACTTTCTACAATATAATTACTGTCCACAGACATTTATTAAACAGTTTTTACAGTAAAGTTAATATAAAATATCTGTATTTTCAGGAGAATTGCCAAGTAGAATCATTCAAAAAGGATTCATTGTAAAAGCCTACGTCGAAGAAGCGTTGTACTTAGATACTCAAATTACTTTCTTCTACACATTTGGAATTCGTCGATTTGCATTCAGTGAACTTTTGACAAATTCTTCTAGCGTTAACATCGAAGAAACTTTCATACAAGTAGTAAGCAAACTTCTTTACAATGTAATTATCATAAATTGTCTGAAATTTGTATTTTCATTGTTGAATTTTTACGCAATATAAATACTTTAAATTTATAAAAATGCGGGATAATTATAATTTACGTATTCAACGTTGTTGGAGTATACGAATCAGTCCGAATTTTATATCTTGATATTTCAAAACATGTAAAACGTAAGTTTTCTGGAAAACGCAGTTTTAAAACACTAGAATTAAACTTGTGTATCAGTCGCAAGGCAACTGTTAGCTACACAAAGAAACAATACGATTAAAGAACAAAGAAGCACATTTGTTGCGGCTGTTATTCGCGAAGTCATGACATCGTGCAATGCCATTTCATATGTAGTGAGCGGGCAATTTTATTCCAGTTATTGTCCCCTGCATCTATGCATTGTGAGGTCTGTTTAGTGTGTAAAAGTTTACTCTTGTAGAAATACTACACCTATTACAACATGAAAATACAAATTTCGATTAGATTTAAACTGCTATATATATCTGCAGATAGCGTTAAATACAGATTATTACCACAAAAGTTTTATTGCAATTCAAATTGAATTTTTAATTATTGCGATTTTTTCTTAGCGCGGTGATTACCGTATTAACCGTGTTTGACTTAATATATGATGAAGGAAAAACAAAACCAAAACTTTATAAAAGGCATTACCGGGAAAATTTTATTTTTAATGATTCAGAATGTTCTAATATCCATTAATAATAACAATTTAACTAATATGAAATAACTACATTTATATTAATTGCTAAGTGACTTGTATTTCAATTAATGATTTTATAAATAACAGAGAACTATTTTCTGCGGACGAATGAAATGTAACGCAGTTTTAATTGAAATACGTGGGATTAAACCAATAAAGAAAGGGGAGTGTGTCTTAATTTGTTTACAATAGATGTCAACTTCCTATAGACTGTAGACCTATTAATGACAGCATGAAGTATACACGGCTCACAGAAATTATTGCAAAAACGCTTTGGGTTTTAGACCAAATAATTACAGATCTTAAAAAAATAAAATAGTTTTATTTATACAAGGACTGGTACCAGTACAACGCCCGTGGTAAGAATGAACTCGAGAGGAAGACAAAGTCTATGTTGTTAACGCGTTGGAGTGTTGCCAAGTTTGCAACAACGCAAAGAATCTTTCACCCTCGCGAATAGGACGACCTAGAGTTTTGATGTTGTGGAAAATAAGTGAAAACCTCGTCTTATACGCGAGTAAATGCGGTAGTTCTATTAAACTTATACGTTATACAGGTAACTACCGTATAACACGGGACTTACTTTCCAAAAAATTGCCGTGTTATGCAAATCCGTGTTACACGAAACAAAGAACTAGTGCGAAAAAGGCTTAGGTTCCAAAAATTAAATAAACATGTTGTTAAATCCTTATTTAAATCGGATTTATTATTCATTTTTTCATAGGTAAAATACTTATTTATTATTTAAATAAATATTTTACCAGAGGATTATTCATCCTATATGATGATCTCATCATGAGCATCATCAACTGGTAACAATTTGTGGGTGCATTCTTAATAGCGGTTGCTCTGCAACAAGAGTGCGCTGCCGTTTGTAGGCATTTAGGAACGACGATGAAAGAAAGATGGCGGGGCCCGCACTATTGATAGTATCGTGTGGAGGAATCTATAATTTTAAAATGAGCTTTTAGAGGCAAAAGACGGGTCCTAATTGTAAAATTTAACCATTAAATGGATTATTTGTTGAAAGAGCATTCAAAGTAGCTACGGAAACAATTAGAATGCTCGCGCGGAGTTACGCGCAGGTATAAAAGAGCGCACCCTTTATTACATTTTATGTTGTACGTGGGTATTACCCAATTTCCGAACCGTGTTAGAGTGAATTCGTGCTATAGAAGTGCCGTGTTATACGGGGGTTACCTGCATAGTGTTTCAATTGGAAAATTATAAAAATTCAAACAACAGTCATCTGAAGACAATGTCCGTCGCCATGTGATATGCAGGTTAAAAACAGATTCATAATTGTCATGTGTATTAAGGTTTTACGCATCATTTTACATAGGGACGAATACGCTCTATGAGTGAAAATCTGTAATGACGGTCAGTTTCGAGTCGAGCCTTAATTTTTTACTGATACCAAAAACATTACAAAATCAGCTTTTACTGCAGCAAAAATTAAAATATAATTTCGAACATTTCTGTCACCCCATTTCGGATCCCACTTTTGTCCTGGTTTCTGTTTGTGCATACGTTGCATTTATTTGCTTTTGGCATTTCCCACTCTTGCTAAATATTGCTGTAATCTCTTTTATATTAATCTTCCGTGGCGATACATCGAATCATTATATCGTTTTTAAAACATATGCTACAAGCCGTCTCTCCGCTTTATGGTTATCCCCATAATTTGAGAGACCTCCTCAGTACTATAAAACTCGCTCCCTAAGTTTCTTCTTAAGATTGAATAGCATAAAATTATTTTAGAAACCAAATGGTTCCGAACAGAATTTTCAGGCCATTAAAAACGTTGTATTGTGCATTATGAACTAATTCACTTTCGTTTCAACATGGATAACAAACAACTTTTTCCGAAGAAAGTGGGAATCACAGTGCTCAACATACATCCATCCTACATAAACTTATATTCCAGCCAAAGTTTTCCTTATTATACAGATATGACTAGCTCATAAAAGGTTGGATCTATATGAGTGAATGTTAAAGAACGATTTACAGTACTTCCATAAAGATTTATGGTAACATGAACTGGTTTCACAACTGGATATCTAAAACGGTGTAGCGACATCTTATCGTGCACCCATCTAGTAGTTCAACTGCGGAATACGATTGTGTATAAAAATGTAGATGAAATAGATTTGTATTAGGGTTTCTCAAACGGGATTCCGGGATCCCGGGATCCCAGTTGTTTTTTTAACCCGGGAAATATCCCGGGAAATTTTTCTTATCCCGGGAAATCCCGCAAATTTCTTAAAAATTCACTTTTTTCTTATTTTGTGTTAAGGTTGAGGAATTTTGCAAATAGAAAGCATAATTAGCTTATTCACTGTCAGAATACATTTGTATTTATTAATTTTAAACCTACCTATTAGTTTTTTTTTTAAATTTTTGCTGGTTATAGCATGTCACAAATGGTCAATAATTAATATATAGCTTATTTGTGGCATGACTATAAAAATTTTTTACTTGTCGGAACCTGTAATATCTGGAATAATTGTGCTTACGCTGCCTTGAGTTTTAACCATGCCCAGTAGCTTCAATAAATGCCTGACGCCAGATTGTGCAAATTGGGCAAGGATACAAACGAGTACAAAGTCTGCAAGTATGAAGTTTTTCTTCATAAACCTGATTATTAAAGCCAAATGAATTGCCGAATTATCGAGCTCTAAGCTTGATGCCGCTATTAAAGCAGCCAAGGTAGACAAATCAAGAATACTAGAGAGCGAAAGAAGTACTACAATCTCGAAAACGAACTCGAAATCTTCCAGGCTACAGGTGAAAAAACACATAATATCTGTCTTCTCTTAAATGCATTAAACACTATTCCAATCACATCAATTGAATCGGAAAGGGCATTCTCGGTGGCAAGACTTTTCATTACTAAAATAAGAATTAGAGTGAGTTATCGGAGTATTGACCATCTTTGCTTTTTAAAATCTTATAAAAGTTTGCAATATTTTGTATTATATTTTATTTAAAAAACGAAAATTACCTTCTAAATTAGAAGTTCATTTTTTTAATTTTTAACTCAATTCAAAACATTTTTTTTTTTTTTTGTTGTATGCAGTTTCCAGCAAACTTTAATTAATTTTTTTCTATTTGTGAAAATTTCTACGTTATTTAAAGGTAATTTTTATTATAGGCCTATAGACCTTACACAGCATTATTAATATGATTTTGGAGGTTACAGAACTTTAAAATTACTTTAAAAAATGGAAAATAATTATATCATTTGATTTCAAGATATTTTGTATACCTTAAAAATAATTAATTTTATCCCGGGATTTCCCGGGATCCCGGGAAACAGTTCACTTTTATCCCGGGATCCCGGGACAAGCAAAAGACCGGGAAATAAGAAACCCTAATTTGTATGTATATATTTATAGTGTATGTTAAATATTTTACAGTGTAATGTGGATAAATTGAATACATCAGTTTGTAATGAATACAATGTTACAAAGATGTTTAAATTGGAGAGTTTGAAAGGGAAAACTATAGAAGTGGAATATGACAGAGTAAGTATTCATATTTTTACACGTTTACTAATCGCTTTTAATTAATTTCAAATTTATATTTTTGTTGAAAATGGTTTTTCTCTTATTGGTATAATCTGTAAAAATTATTATTTTGGTTTTTAACCCTTAATTTTTCCGTCCTTAGTATATAAAGAAATTTCTGATGCTTATGGCAGTTCTTTCATTGTTTCTAGTGGAGCAACTGAAGTGGCGAGTGATATAATACTTCATAGCACTCACAATATACGCATATTTAAGAACGCAAGTCTTTCAGATTGTTAACGTGTGTCTAACTACTTTATCCATTTGACTCAGCAAAAGAACTATTCTATTAAATATTAGGGTTCTCAGCAGAAAACTTATGTAGATCCCAATAATACTTCAAAAATAGCACCTGATTAGATTACTCTCTCCATTGATTGATTATTATCGTATCGAATTGTTGCACACCATTTATTTTTTCTAGTTTTGTTGGCACATAGAAATGAACAAGAATAATATCACCGCTTTTTCTATTAATGACTGGTTAATAATTAATAAATAATTTTGACATTTATACTGATCAATCGGCATAGATAAGGTTGAGTGGTGAAAGTGGTCCAACGTTGATTTTTTATAAGTTATTAGTGAATAACATATTAAACACAATTTTTTAGATAGTGTAGTGACTAGTCGTCGATTCGATACGATGAGAATCCTGGTCAAGTTCCATTTGAACTCAATATTTCATGGACAGAACGATCGTAGCATACTTTTCTCTTTCAGATACGTTAGTTTAGTGTTTTTCAACCTTCTTGAATACGCGACCCCTTTACAAGTTAAAAAATTCTGGCGACCCCCACGGCCATATTAAAACTATGTCAGTGATTTTAAAACTACTGTACGTATTTAATTTTCTTTCTGTAGAGATTTAAATATCGATAAAAAATCCAATTGTACTGTAAAATAAACAGGCACAGCCTTCTCACTGAAATTGTAGTTTATTTATTGTAATGTAGAACCTACAAACACTTGTATTTTTTTTTTTACACACTACCCCCTGCGTATGGATTTGCGACCCCCTGGGGGTCGCGACCCACAGGTTGAAAAACACTGCGTTAGTTGAACTCAATACCGGTCAATCTCTGACGTAATGAGCGTAACTGTGGTTAGCATTATGTCCGTTGGTTGTAACAAACGTTCATAAATTAATCATTTTCTCAAACTTTAAAAAACTATTCAGTTAAAATTTAAAATTACATATATATATATATATATACATNGTGGTTAGCATTATGTCCGTTGGTTGTAACGAACGTTCATAAATTAATCATTTTTTGATACTTTAAAGAACTATTCAGTTAAAATTTAAAATTATATACATATTTTTTAAATTTTCTAACGCTAAATACATCTTTCTTTACATTAGTTCGGTTACGTCAATGTAAATAAGAAATCAGCTATGTGGGAGTATCGGGATTTGCTAGTAACATTACTTGGAACAAAGTAAGATCTGTTTTTATTGGAAAAACTGCTTATTGTTAAAAATAGTAGTAACTTTGCTATTATTTTCAGATTTCCTTACCTGCGTACCAATGATCTCGTTCGTATCAAACTTATCAAATCTTATCAAACGCATTCTAACTTTTATGAACGTTTAAATAATATTTTTATTACAGGAGGAAATATCGTTCTCTTATTCAGTTGTCAAGAAAGACTTTATTGGATATTCTTCTCCCATCATGGATGTATCTACTTTCTTTGTAATCCGAGCAGCAAGACCATTAGGGAAAGCCATATCCTTGATCAAGCCTTATCCTATGACTGTAATATTTTATTGTTATTTTATTAATTTACAAAACTTTTGTATATTTATTATTTGATTTATTTACTATTTAAATTAATGTTTATCAAATTATTTGATAAACAGTAGAGCATCGATTATCCGACCCCCCGATTAACCGTCACCTCGGTTAACCGACCGTCCTAGTCGGCAAATTTCAAATGTCCGCTTGTGATGTGGCGCTACAATATTTGGCTATGTCTTGGCTTCTTTAATATTATTTTTACGTATTTTAGCTGGCAACACTCATTCGACCATGAAAGGGAGCCAGTATTTAAACGAGGCTTAATTTTTTAATTTTTAACGATACAATAGCGACGATTATTATTTTCAAAAAAATTTGTTAGGCTTATCATCGATGAAAATTCAACGCGAAGTAGGTTAATAGCGATATACTAATATACTAATTACATGAAATATAATAATAGACTACACTAATAATGGATTTTTTCATACTTTTCGGTTATCCGACTTTTCAATTATCCGACCAACCCCAGTCCCCAATTGAGCCGGATAATCGAGGCTCTACTGTAATTCATTGTATTTATTATCCAATATTGGTTATCTTATTTTTAATCGATTTTTTCTTGTGTCTATCCCATATTTTAGATATTGCGATATTGGTAATTTCCACTGAATTAAGAACAAACACTTTTTACTTTAATCGTAATTACCTTACATAAACTCTTCATCTTTACAAAGACGTTTCAAACTATAACCATAATAATCTTACATTTATTTCAGTTCATTTACATTGAGAAATACTATTGAGACGGAATTTTTCACTCTGCAACTCAACAACGGCCAAGTGGATAAAACCACTAAGCATTGATGATTGCTTGCCACTTCATGGCTTAACTATGGGCTAGCAATGAGGAGAATTCCATTGTTACAACAAGTGTATGACATCTATACAGAACAGCTTTCTATAGAAAGTTCTTACGAAGCACTTTTTTTTTTGACAGATTGCTCATATTTTGAGTTGCATAATACCATCAATCCAATCCACGCTTTTATGCTGTCATCTCATGGATCGCTAATAAATTGACGTTTTCCATAATACAAACGCAACAAATTCCGGCAGTAACTATGTAAAATGTCGTTAATTAAACTTGCAACGGCTTGTATTTAACCAAATTTAGATTAATAAGTGACCAATAACAATTATTATTGTGAAACAACAAATAGTGGTGTTTTTCTGTAATAATTAATAAACACTAAAATAGCATGGTTGCGATTACGTTATGATCTGAACTTATTCATTAAACACTTACAATTGAGACCTTAGTGGGCAATTATTGCTTTAGAAAGATTTTCATTCTATAACATACTTTTCTTTACAACATGCATTTCAGCCAAATTACAGGTTTGGCTCTCTTCAGATGTACCATAAATTAATGTACATAATTATTATTTTTATTAAAGAAATCATTATTTTTAATCTGTTAAAACCTGAAGAAAACGAAAATTAATTTTTATATTACAGGTTTGGCTCTGCATCCTGATAACGTTTCCTCTAACTTTGATAATAATGTATCGAGTGATAAACAAAGAATTTGAGGTTAAAAGAATGCCAAAGTTGACAATTTCTGATTTACAATGGATCTTTATTAGAAATCTTCTAAGACAAGGTGAGTTTATTTAATTGTAACATATAGGATGAGTAAAATTTTTTATCTTGAGACAATGAAATAACCTAATTGGATCTCATTATTTCGAGAAAAGGTTTAAATAAAAGTTGTAGGGTTTCGAAGGGCAAAAAATTGGTGACCTTGGGTGTGACCTTAACCTTCAAGGTCATTTAAAGGTTAAGCTTTTTTAATGGGAATACATATTTCTGACCCTGGAAATGAAAAGAGCAGGAAATTTCACAATCAGACCTTGAGTACTCGGAATTTGACCTCAGGGTCATCTCAAGAGCGAGCATTCAAAGCACGGCTTGACAAATGCATCAAAGATCATTTTGAACATTTGTTATTAAATGCTTTCCCAAAACTAATATCTCAACCAACAGTGAGATGCAAAGGAGCTAACAGAAAACAAGCACCTCAAAGGGAGCAGATAACTACTATATCCACGTCGTTACTTCTCAGTAGTGATAAAAGTAGTAAATGATTTTAAAAATCAAAGTAATAAGGCTGTGAAAAAATGTAAATTTTACCTCCCTGTCCGTCTATCCGATATTCCAGTAATAAAAGGTATTGTGAGACTAATCGGGGGTAGGATGTTTACGAGGACGTCACTCTCCTACCACTTACTCGACTCAAGACCTTGAGGTCCGGTCTCGCTTGTGTAAAGGATGGGAAAAAAAAGGGTTAGGAGAAAGGATCGTTAGATTCTTTCACCTGTCAGGATCTGACACCAATCTATCAATTTATCGCGAATAGATACGCGGATAGATGGGGGGGATTTATCACGAGCGATCTCGTCGAGGACTTCGGGTTCAGTATGGAGTGGATAATGTCAGAAGAAACGCACACCAATCCAAGTTCGTTAATAAAATACCCGTTTATTCCGGTTATTCCGTACATTTATACATAGTTAATAATTTAAAGAGTCGAAGGTACAGATCCCTCTCGGGATTTTCAATCCGTATAGTTCATAAAGTAACGGCAAAATATAAAGTAGTCGCAACCCTAACCGCGAGATAGGAATATTCGAGAGAGAGCTTACATATCATCGCGTATAGGATAAATACCTCTAGTTATACAGGATGGTGTTTTCAGGACGATCTTGGAGTCCGAATCCCAAGCTCGTTAAAATAGTTCGTGAGTCGACGTAAGTCCGCAAATCGTAGAATAGTTCTATCGAGGATGGTGGCGACGAGAGGCAGGTAATCCACACACACACAGTATAGAAAATAACTTTTTCCCCCCTTGTGTCGTCATCGCACTTGCCTTTTATATGGGGGCTGTTTTTTCGAGATTTTCCCATGTACGTCACAGGTGATGATCTTCGTTGACCAATGGTGGGCGAAGTGACAAAATTATGACACAACAGGTAACTCATCTTCTACAGGGAAGTATTGTCGTGGGAACGGAGTTTTTATGAGCGATTTTTATGAGAAAATTTGTCGGTTGTTTTTCCTTTTTTTTGTGTTAACCCTAACTTTAAAAATCGGTTTGATTTTGAAACAAAACGGTAAAATGAAGGAACAAAAATTAATATAACTATTCGAATCTCGGCCCTCTTAAATCCTGGCCCTCACATCACCACGGACTTT